GAAATGGTGCTTTCCCTAAACTAAAATGGCTCCTGCTGCCCTCTGCCAGGCCCTCCAAAGGTAAGGGATCTTCACATACCCCAATTGAAGAAACAGTACAAAACCTCTCAGTTCATCCATCATTAAAATATATCTATACACAGTTATAGCTTTCCCTGTCTGATAAATTCAAATTATTTAAAATCTTCTCTACTACTCGGCCTTCCTTCCTCCCATAGTGTGATATTCCTTATACCATGCTTACTGGAAAAGACAAGATTCTCTCCCCTTCTTTCCAGTGAGTTAATTGGAAGCAAATTCAATTTCGACTTTTAACTCTGTTTGGCTCAATTGAAGCAAGCTGAGAACAATGAGGGAAGTGAGAAGAGAGAGAAAATTGGGACATTATAAAGGCGTTTGAAAAAAATGGGAAGGCAGAGGATTAATTGGGACTGTCCCTGCCAAATCTGGACAGCAGGGGGGTATGAGTAATGGGCTACACAAACCTGTAGAACTATCCATAGCAACTAAATTTATCCTCACTCCTAGGCAAGTATATGTCATTCACACTTTCTCAGCTCCTACCTCTTACTTAATGCTTGTGGAAACAACTAAGCACAATATTGACGTATGGCCTTACAGTTCGAACATAAGGACACTTGAAGGTGTTAGAGGAGAAAGATTGTCAAAGATTACAGGAGCCAACATACACCTTGGTGCCTCAGACTTTAGACACATTTCTGGCTATATTTGACCTGCTGATTCCAAAAATGGCACCAGTTTGCCCTTATCAGTTTGTTTAATACAGAACATATGCCATCAACCAGTCACCATCTGTCAGTTGCCATAGAAAATAAAGATAACCACATTTAAGAAACTAGAGGTGATGAGGTCAAAATTTAGGTTTCTAAAGGTCATAGATAACTAGGACTGCAGATACCTGGGGTCACCTAGCACCAATGTTCCAGAACAGAATCAGGACACACTCGATAAAGGCAAATGACAAAGGCTTTATTCAATCTGCAAAAGGGATGCAGTGTACCATAATGGATGTCAAAATGTACAAGCATAAGCAATATGTGAGATGCAGTAACTTTTATATAGAAGAAACACCATTAATTAACATTGCCAAGTTTTGAAATGCTCTCCCCCTTCCCTGATTGGCCAAGTGCTGAAAGCCAGCCGGCACCGCCTGTGCTCCTGATTGGCTGGGGAGGGGGGGCTTCCCTCTGGGCACAAAGTGCACGTCCTATTCAAAAGACAAATTTTACAGGTCCAGCACGCGACAGAACTATATATATAGTTAATTAATAATATAATAAATATATTATTTATTATATATTATTTAAATAAATAATAAATTAAATAAAAATTAATTTTATATATTGTATGTATATATATATATCTTGTAAGCTGCTCTGAGTCCCCTTCGGGTGAGAAGGGCAGCATATAAATGTCGTAAATAAATAAAATAAATATGCCACGTTTGGATGATTTGCTGGAAAGGATGGGGAAGGCCAATTTTATTAGTAGTATAGATCTTACCAAAGGATTTTGGCAAGTGTCCATGGCACCACAGGATCAACATAAAACCGCCTTCCGGACCCAAAATCGGCTTTTTGAATTTTCCGTACTTCCATTTGGGTTAAAGAACAGTCCAGCCACATTTCAGAGATTAGTAGACAGAGTTTTGAGTGGGCTGGGGTCTTTCTGCGTGGTCTATATCGATGATATAGGGATTTTCAGTTATTCATGGGAAGCTCACCTTGGACATTTGGATCTGGTATTAAGTAGGTTGAGGGAAGCAGGGTTAACTATTAAAGCTTCCAAGTGCAAGTTAGGATACAATACTACCAAGTATTTAGGACATTTAGTGGGAGGAGGTTGTATTTGACCTGACCCTACTAAAGTGGCAGCTATTCACCAGTGGCCAGTGCCCAAAACAAAAAAACAGGTTAGGGCATTCCTTGGATTGGCTGGATACTATCATAAATTAATTCCATCTTTTAGTGATTTGGCAGCCCCTCTTTCGGATCTTACCAAAAAGAAGAACCCGAATCAGGTCATTTGGACTCCAAATTGTCAAACATGGATCAATTGAAGAAAGCCATTATTTCGGATTCGGTCCTAGTTGCGCCAGATTTTGATAAACCTTTTATTCTAACATGTGATGCATCGGATACTGGGCTAGGAGCTGTCCTAAGCCAGTTAGATGTAGAGGGTGAGGACAGACCTATTTTGTTTTTGAGTAAAAATGGGCATTACAATGAATATAACATGTCAACGATTGAAAAAGAATGCTATGCCATCATCTGGTCAGTTAAAAAATTAAAGCCATATTTGTGGGGCCTTACAAACGGACCATGCTCCATTAAGATGGCTAGATAATGTAAAAGGTACGAATAACAAATTGTTGAGATGGAGTTTATGTTTACAGGATTTTACATTTGAGATTAAACATGTTTCAGGTAAACGAAACATAGTTGCAGACGCCTTATCTAGAATTTCGTAAGGTTAAAGGTTTGTATGTATATATAAATTGTAATGTATTTAACCATAATATGTTTGCCTTTCAGAAATGTTGTGTATTTAAATATTGTTGGATAATATGTGGAATTATTTTTGCCATTCCGGGATTGAGAATGGTCCAAAAATAATTTTTTCTACAAAAGTAGAATTCAGTAAGGTTAATTTTTGAATTGGGGCAAGCCCTTCGCAACTGCATCCAACCATCTGAACATTTCTCCCAATATAATGACTCAGTTTTGAATCCTTTGAAAAACTTAGAACATCTTTAAAAGTTAACTGAGTGACTTCATACTTTATAGACTCTCCTGAAGCCAAGTCATTTTTACAGCAGAGTGTCCCCAAGGGCTCCCTTTAAGAATGAACATGTTCAAGATTTATTTTTACATTTCACATTGAGGCAAGGATCTCAATAAGATAATGCATAATATCCACTTGAAAATCTCCCAAATATTCAGAAAGCCATTGTATTTAATGAATGTCCAAGGGTAGACCTAGCTGGATTAACCTGCTGTTGTTAATGCAAACGTTTCCTGTCATTGGGTTGACATACAATAAAAACGACATCAAGTCTCAACATAACAATGAAAAAGCCTTTCAAATTTCTAATTTCTGGACTGCACACTCAGCCCAATGCTATAAACTGTACAAACTCCAGCAAAATACATACTGAATAAGGGCTAGACATATGAATAAAGCTTATTTTGCTACAGGTGTCTGTTCTGGAATTGTATGCATCTATTATTCTCCTGAAATTTCTGTACCCCAGGGTAACTTAGTTAATTGTCTGATGTTCTTATATTATCCCTTCTGGAAAACCCTAGGAATATATACTACTTTCTACCAAATTAAAAATATGAAATTACCTTTGCAAGTAATTTTGCTAGTAATGTAGGCTGGACTTCTTCAGTCACCAATGGATATAAAGCAACTATTTAAAAGGCACTTCTTTTTACACATGTTTTGTACTCTCTCTAACATATTAGTGTAAAACTATCTTTACTTTAAATCAATGTTTTGGTTTACAGAAAATACCTACCTTAATCTTTTCAGCCAAATTTTGAGTTATTATAATCTCTCTTTCCCCTTCATCATACATTCGGAAAATAAGATTTTGCATCACATGACCTGCAATCTGTTTAATTTCATCCTGGTCCTTAATATGAATTGCTATTTCTCCCTCGACACTAAATATCTGTAGTTTTGCAACACGACTGCTGGGAAGTATTTCAATTGTCTTCTCCAGTGGCAGCACATTTTTACAACTCTAATAATAAAAAAGAAGAACAAACAAGTGAGAATACTAACAGTGACACTCTAAACTCACACATAATATTTACTCTAAAGCTTTGAAAACACACATTTATTAACAATTGGCACATCTTTAATAATTTTGTTTTTATTAACAGAAAAAACATGAGTTAGAACCACAAAAGTTAATTTAAATCAAGCAACTGTGCATTCTTTCATTTTGTTCCATGCTATATAATATTTTTAAACTGGTTAAAGACCAAGAGGCTAAATAGAAGAGTAAGAAATCTTGCAGAGGCCCTCATTTGAGCAGGGGCAACCTAATTACTTGCTCTTGAAATGCCTTATTCATGGGCTAGTTGGTTGGAACATCACTATGCAAAGGATCTTATAGAACCTTAAGGATGAAATGAAAGAACCAAGATGGATAAGCCTTCATAGACTAAGTCTGCTTCCTTAGTTCATCTCTAAGGTGCTACAAGATCCCTTTACATAGTGATGTTTGAGATGAACACATTGATAAGGTTAGACATGGCTCCTTTTCAACTCAAAAGACATTGCTTCTAAAAACAACCATATTTGACAAAAACATTTACTGCTTCCTCGCAACCACACAGCACAGTATCCAAGTGTCCCACACCTCTAAATGGAAAAATGAGGTACTGCTTTGAATATATAGTTAACTTACTGGTATTTCAATCTTTGCATTAATGATCTGCTCCTTCTTTATATTTTGTACATGCAGAACATTCCCAGTTAAGATATTCGAACCAGTACTGCTGCAGTCCACAGTATATACAGGAAGATCTGGAGCTCCTGAAAACTAATATGATGAAATATAATAGCAATTACTTACTGATTTACTATTAGATCCTGCCTTTCTATTAAACAGCAGCAGGAACTAAAATCAAATTTAAACATTTAAAAGTATTACAATCATCCTCATCAAACCAATTCAGAAGTCCAGACTAAAATAAAAATATGTGTTTTCATGTCCGTCTTAAAAGGAAAGCAAGAGTAGGCACTCATAAAAGTTCTGAGGCTGATGCCTTCAATAATTTGGGGCAACACAGGAGAATGGATTCTTCTGCCTGCTGATCATGTGGGCCCCTGCATTTTCAAGAGAGCCTCTCAGTATTTGGCCATAATAATACAACTGGTTCTGGAAACAATAAGAGCTTTAAAACTTTGAATGTCATAAATCCATCAACACATTGAATTGTGCTTGGAAAACAACTAGCAACCAGGGAAGTATAATTGAAGATATGCTCAAAGGTTAAACTATTAACAAGAAAAAACTATTAATATGAATTACACTATATCTAGTAAAACGTTTTGAACACAGTAATTACTATCATTTTAAGATATATTTTTGTATCTTCAGCAAAAATACAAAGCTAACTAGGGTCCTGTCTCAACCAAGAAGAAAGCATATGTGCAAGAAAACATCACCAACTATGTCTCAGCAAGTGCAAATTGGTGCCTCTCTAGGAGATGTATGCATACATCTTCACGAGCATCTACATTTTCACGAGGATGGCAGCAGTGAAGATGTTCAAACAGAGAACAGTCAACACGGGATACCACACACAAAGTGAGGTGTCAACGTAATTGCCAACCACAACAAGATAAAATGAAAGGTGCTGGAAATTGGGGACTCATTGATCAGTAGGAACAGAGGCACCAGTGTGCCAGCCTGACAAGATGAATTGACAAGCGTTCTGTCTTTCTGGTGCACAAATCCAGAATATCACTTATTATTTAGTAACTGGCTTGTGGTTTATGGGAGTGTTTTTGCATATGGTTTTAGATCCTTGTCATGGGCCCACACATAACTTGTTCATTGGGCAACCTTACGTCTACCCTTGAACTTCTGGATATTGAACTTGCAAATGTATTTTAAAGAAAAGTAACATAAGCCATTGACCTACCTTGCAATGGACAATTAGTTTGGGCTGTGCGGTTAGGTTTCCTGCTTTATCCAGCACTTTAACATGAAAAGGAAATGCTGCTCCATTCTCAGTTTTCAAGATGTCAGAATTTGGTTGGACTTCTAATTTACAAGGGGGACCTATTCAATTTAGAAATTAGACTTCAGTTTCTGGTTTCTGGTAAAAAATCAGACAACTACAAAGAGAACAATGAAAACATCAAGAGGCACAATATTTCAAAATGTATAGGCAAGAAATTATGAAAGGGGTTTTTCATGTCTTCAATACAAATAACAAATATGGTATTACTTTTCTCTCAAGGAATTTAACTGTTAAAGAGAACAGATAAAACAACTAAAAAGAACACATAAAATTTCCAAATCACTGAAGTTTTTTTCAATAGTCTGCAAATACAAATCAGTTTAAGCTAACCATCGGTTTAAGAGAAACCAACAGTTCAGGATACACCATGAGCATAATGACCCACTTCTATTGAGATGACAATGGCAATTCATGAGATACAGTATTTCACTGCATTCTATTATGGTTTAAAATTGTATTTTTTTTTAAAAGAATCAGGCATTATAATACTTTTTCTCAGGAAATGCTTTTAAAGCATTAAAATACTTCTCTTACCTGGAAGAAGTTTAATTTTCAAAACCTGGGATTCTTCCTTCAGACCTGGAAGAGTGATCTTCAAAGAAAAGTTCTATCAAAATGCAATAATTTTGAAATTAATTACGAACAATGATCACCGCATTAGTCATTCAGTTTTTGGAATGAAAATAATTACTATATATACTTATGCATAAGTCTAGAAATTTTAGATAAAAACTCAGTCTCAAAAACCTGGGTTGAGTTATCCATGAGTCAATGTAAGTACTATACCTTAACTCTTATTTAAAAAGGAATCATTTCCCTCTCTTATTGTTGAAAGGTGAGAGCTTGGTGCATAAAAGAAACAGAAATCCTCTCTAGTCTCTTTGCTATAGCACCACTTCTGGCCTTTCTAAATGTCTGGGTGGATAAATGGCAGTCTTGATACTTTCTCCTCTCTGCAGAATGACCCTTGATTTGTGTAATAACAAAATCCAAAATTTTGACCCCCAAACCTGCTCTTAGTTTATATATGAAGTTGAGTATGTACAATACTTAGATAAACAATAACAGTACTTAGATAAACAATAACAAATATTTAGAAGTTTTTTCTTATGGAAAAGGACTTTAAATGTTCAGGTTTGTATATTTCCTTGCATAGCATTTGTCTGAACACTCTCATCTACAAAACTGTGACTTCTCAAACATACACCTCCTCACTAATTCAATCATTACTGGGAAGTATCTGATCAACTACTACAGTATAATTAAGAATCACCAAAGAACCAACTGAACTGAGTAGGTTTACAGTTGTCTGTCAGTGCATCAATTATTATCTATATAAATAAAAATGTAATGTTAGTGGGATTAACATAACTCAAAAACCACTGGATGAATTGACACCAAATTTGGACACAATACATGTATCAGGCGAACAAGTGACCATCACTCATAAAAACACTAAAAAACACAACAAAAGAGACTTAAAACGCCAAAAACCAAAAATGTATTATTTTTAATGGTACATTTCAACCTACCTTGCCCTGCAAACTGTTTACAAGGCCGCTAGCTGTTATTCCTTTAATGGCACAGTTTGGTCCTCTTTTTACTTCTTCATAGTGTAATGTTAAACCACTATATAATCAAAAATAAAATAATTTAGCAACTGATCTGACCACCTTAGGGAAGAAAAGGTCTTAACTGTAACTATGGGTCTTCACAGAAATATAGAATATTTGCGTTGAAAGTGACTATAAGGACAGTCTCATCCAACTATCTGCCATGTAGGTATACCCACCTAAAATGCTTCTGGAAGATGCTTCTGGAAGATGCAAAATTTCTATTTTAAAACCACAAAAGATGGCGAGTTTGAATCAAACCCTGCATTTGGAATGGGATCTTTGAACTATCTTTGCTTTTTAATTCTTTTATTACACCTTAAAAAAATCCTAAATCTAAATGGTCAGAAGAGATTCCACTGTCACCACAAAGTCAGATCCCATGTCTGCAACCAAGCTAGAGGGAATTTTACCCTCAGAAAGTCAGAAACCTATGTTTCAGTTGCAAGGCTTGGATGTAAAAGGTTCATTTCTTTCTGAAGTCAGAGGTTTGGCGATGCCTGTCTGGTTGCCCAGCAATACACACACTGTCCTCTCCCTTCTGTATAGAATCCTAACTCAAGATGATGCCATGAAGATGCAACCATGCTAACTTTCAGGAGATTCCTTTTCTCCTCCCGAGGAGACTGGGTTGATAAGTTTTGCCTTTACTTTTATCTATTTTAATCTTCCTAGATAAAAATTATTTAGATCTTACTGCTGCCACTTTGGGATCAAAAATTGATTCTACAGCCTGTTCTCCTTCCTCATTGGCCACAATATTTTTCTCTTCTTTCTAACTAAGTCTCCTTGGGTGCTAAGTAGCTATGCTCTATAAATGCTACCATAAATTATTGTATTGCGATGAGATAAAAATAAATAGAAAATTATCCTCAATCAGCTGACAAAGAAGGAGAACAAAACTGAAGGAAGGAGAGAAGGAAGCAATAGAAATAGTAGTTCAGAATTTGGGTTTCCTGCCTTGATTAGCTGACAGGAGTGATTAATACAATTGGTTGAGGAATCCCTCTTTTGCCTTTCTGAGTAGGAGATTTTAGAAAACTTCAGTCTTTCACTATGAATAAACATCTAAGCAAAGGTGATCCATAATGCTAGTGCTTCTGTTTTTTCAAAGCCTTACAGGTAAATCCATATTTTGATTGGTATTCAGTTGCTGTAATTTTCCTTGTAAGATCCCAACTTTCAACTCCACAGTTTAGAAATGCGGCACAGAATTAAATGAAACATTGCTGTAGCGATGATGCGAATTCATGCAGCCAATACCAATGTACATTGAAAAGATTAGCAGTTGCCTTGAACATATTTCAAGGATGGGCACGTGTCTGAATTGCTGTGCTAAAATATGTATTTGTGATAAGGAACATAAATTTCAATAAACCACTGTACACATCTTTTAATAACCTCTTCAAATATAGGTTTCAACTTCATTTCTCTTTGCAACCTTATCTTAATAAAAACTATCCAAAATCTGATTTCTAAATTGGAAATGGAGGCAAAAATGAAATCTGCTCAGTGGGAAAGTAGAAAATATCCAGGAGCCATTTCCCCTCCTAATGGTGTTTCCAGAAGCCTGATTATTATTATTATTATTTATTTATTTAAAACTTTTATATCCCGATCTTCAATACCTCCGTAGAGGGATTCAGACCGTAGCTTGTTCACATTGCAGGATACAGATCACCTAATTTATTAAGTAAAGATCACCCAGCTGTATCCATGCATTTTAAAGTGAATGGCAGATAAACTGGCTGGTCCATAAGTCTTTCGTTTAAAAGCAATATAACGACAAAATGTAACACTGACAGTTACCTGGCCTCTAGGTTAGGGACAATATCTTCTCTCAGATACGTCGAATGACCAAATTCATCCTGGACATCTAGAGGAATGTTGAATGGAAGCCCAACTCTAAATGGAGGATCCAGAAGACCTATTGAAAACTTCTGAGGCTTACCCTCTGAGACACAGAAAAAAAAAATTAAATTTATGATTTTTAGAGGTATTATTTTAATTACTCTCATTTCCTGTTGTCTCACCCCCATTCTTAACAGTGATTTTGGATTTTATAAAAGTAACTAAATATGGCTGTTACAAATGATAACCTTTCCCCCTGCGAGTTCATTTAGATCATTCCCCAAATCATGAATTTGAGTATGGTAGAGAATCATGTCAGGCTTCTTGATCAGCCAGTACTTTTAAACACTGGCTGAGAATTAGCATCTTAGCATGCTGTCCATCCTCTTTATTGGGTGGTAAAGCAGCACAATGGGCAATCTCCAAAAGATAATTAATTAATTTCCCCCCCACCAAGTGAAGACTTCCAGTGGACCAGATTTTGACCTGCTCACAAGCCTCTGAATTAAGAGCATCAAGAATCAGCAACAGGCAATATATGTTTTTATGCCCCAATTTTTCTTCTTATTTTTACATAACTATGGTCTAATATAAACCATTTAGTTAGCAACCTCAATCAGATTAGATTACAGTCTATACTATAAACTGATAAGAACATAATGATTCAAGGTTTACACATAAATTGAGAAGGAAGACTGTAGTTTGAAAGACCACCTATTTTATTAATGAATTAAAGAATGCTTTCAGGTGAAATCCAATTCCAAAGAGAAAACCAACATTTTATTTTATGCATCACACTTTTATTACATAGGCAAAACACAGGCATAAGATGCTTAGAGTAGAACCAAGCTTACCTATGATAGTAAATTTAAAAGTTTTAGATGGAAGAGATCGTCCTGCGTAAATATCTGCATTGCTTTCGTTCAACACTACTTGAAGTTTCAGTGTGTAGGCCCCAAGTTTGTTAATATTTTCTGCATATAAATAAATGCAAACTTTAAAATTAGATAACCAAATATTGATCAATTGTAGTATATAATTAAAGCAAAATATACTCACCCATTTTTTTGAACCAGAAAGGCCATTTATTTCCATGTTGACTAATATGAGAAATAATTTCCTTATTTCCAGTAGGAGCTTAAAAAGGGATGGGAGAAGACAACAGTTACATAAAAAATGGAGCCAGAATCTCTACAAACACATTAAAGTTCAAATAAATTATATAGAAAACTAATTAAGGATACAGTTATTTTTATGCAGACTGGAATTACATCGTCATAATTAATAAACAGTATGCTATATAAGTCTTTTAATGTATACTTTATTCTTCATATAAAGCTTTTGCCATTATAACTTAAATCTTTTTTATAGGTAAATTCGATATTTATTATTTATAATACTTCTATATCATCCTGTATCTGACTAACAGGACACAGTAATAGACAATAAAACTTGGAAGGTTGCTTACCTGTAACCGTGGTTTCCTGAGTAGTTACCTGTGAATACGCACATTGTGGTATTCCTGCGCCCGCGCAGGCCAGCCTCGGAACCTTCTAGAAAGCTTTAAAATAATTGTATCCCCCTCCTGGCTCCACCTCCCTCCTCGAGTATATAAGGCCCCTGGGTGGAGCCAGCCTTCCAATCCTCTTCCGCCGCAAAGCAGCCAGAAGGAGTGGCATGATACTCAAGGGGAGGAAGGGAGGGTATGTGCGTATTCACAGGTAACTACTCAGGAAACCACGGTTACAGGTAAGCAACCTTCCATTTCCTGTCGTAGTTAACTGTGAATCGCACATTGTGGTAGACTAGCGAGCTATAATTCGGCCGGCGGGATCATGCCACTGCCGAAAACAGCACTGCTCTACCAAATCTTGCCTCTCCTCTCGACACACAGTCCAATTTATAATGGGAAACAAATGTGGAGGGAGAGGCCCATATGGCAGCTCTACAGATCGTTTCTAAAGGAATCCCTTTCATGAACGCTGTAGAGGCTGCTACAGCCCTCGTCGAATGGCCTTTAACCTGACTGCGCAGTTCTTTACCTGCTAACCTATAGGAGGTACGGATAGCAGAGACAATCCAAGCAGACAATTGTTGAGAGGAAACTGGGAGACCCCGAGCATCCTTCCAATACTTCACAAATAATCTAGGTGATTGCCTGAAATCAGCAGTCCTTTGCAAGTAAAAGGCTAGCGCCCTTCTCACATCTAGAGAGTGCAAACTCCTCTCCAAGGGAGTCTCCGGATTCTGAAAGAACGCGGGCAGAACTAGCTCCTGAGACATGTGAAACCTCGTGGCAACCTTAGGTAAAAATGCTATGTCAGTGCGTAACACAACCTTATCCTTGTGAAACTTAAGGTAAGGCGGGTCCACCCTGAGCACGCAGAGCTCACTAGCTCTTCTAGCAGATGTAATAGCTACTAGGAAGACCACCTTCCACGTCAGCGGACCCAATTCTGCCACAGCCATAGGTTCAAAAGGAGGTTTCATAAGAGCCGAGAGAACCACCTCCAAGCTCCAGGAAGGGGCAATTGGGGCCACAGGAGGTCTAATATTCCCTAGACCCCTCAAAAAACATTTGAGCAGTGGGTCTGAAAAACAGGACGGTAGTCCCCCCTTCCTTCTAAACCAGGAAATGGCCGCGAGGTAGCATTTAAGCGAAGAGTTCGAGAGTCCTGCTTCATAAAGTGTTGATAAAAAGTCTAAAACTGTGGAAATAGGGGCGACCTCCGGTTCTTGATTTCTTGCCCTCGAGAAGTCTCTAAACCGTGCCCACTTAAACATGTATGATTGTTTAGTGGAAGGCCTATGTGCCGCCTCGATAATGCACCTTACATTCTGAGGAAGACTCAAGGTCACATCTGTCCCTGGGGCAAAATTAGCCAGGCTGTTAGTTTCAACAGGTGACCGTCCGGATACAAGACCCGACCCTCCGGAGACGTCAAGAGGTCCGTTCTCATCGCTAATCTCACGTGGTTCCCTCTCGATAGTTGTAACAGAGGGGCGAACCATGGCTGGCGAGGCCACTACGGAGTCACGAGGATGCAATGAGCGTTGTCCCTTTGCAGCTTGGCCACCACTTTCAGAAGAAGGGGGAAAGGAGGAAACGCATACGCCAAGCCCCCCCCATTCCCTGAGGAACGCGTCCCCCAGGCACCCCTGGTCTCTGGAGATCGGGAGCCTTGAGCAAAACATCTCGCATTTCTTGTTCTCCCTGGTGGCAAATAGGTCGATCAGGGGATACCCCCAAAGGCGAAATAGTTTGGTCGCCTCTTGGGGGTGGAGGGACCAGTCATGGTGACCCAGTGGGTTCCTGCTGAGGGCGTCTGCCAACGAGTTTTCTTGCCCTGGGAGGTGAGTGGTCAGGAGGTACACCTGCCTCTGAATGCACCACTCCCAAATGCGTAATGTCAGTTGCAGCAACCGAACGGAGTGGGTGCCTCCCTGTTTGTTCAGAGAGAACATGACAGTTGTATTGTCTGTCAAGATCTGAACGGTGTGACCTAGAACGAGCCCTTCGAATGACTTTAGCGCTCTTTCTACGGCCAACAGCTCCAGAACGTTTATGTGCAGAAGGGTTTCGTCTGGAGACCATTTGCCGTGTGCAAGTAGGCCCTGTGAATGGGCACCCCAACCAGCCAGAGATGCGTCCGTCGTAATTATCCTGGTGGGGTATGGTAGTTGGAAGGGAAGGCCCGAACATACAAACTGGGGCTGCAGCCACCATACTAGGGACATACGGACCTCCTCCAGTAGTATGAACTTGAGCCGAGGGCAATCCCTGAGTGGGTTGAAAACTGACCCAAACCATGATTGGAGGGGGCGCATACGCAAGCGCGCAAATGGGGTTACTGAGGTAGTGGAGGCCATATAACCCAGGAGTGTTTGGACCTGTTTGGCTGAGACCTTGGTAGATTCCAGGGCCGATTTCACCTGAGTCCGTAGGTTGAAGAAGCGCTCGGCTGGGAGGTATGCCCTGCGCGTCACTGCATCGAGGAACGCCCTAATGAACAGGATGCCAAGGGATGGTTCCAGGTGGGATTTCTCCACGTTGACGATCAGACCCAAAGACTGGAGGAGACACAAAGTAATATGCACATGTTTTTGCAGCTGAGAGGCTGATTTTCCAATAATAAGCCAGTCATCAATGTATGGATAAATGACTACTCCCTGAGTCCGCAAGTGTGCTACCACCACCGCCATGCACTTTGTGAACACTCTTGGGGCAGTACTGAGTCCAAATGGGAGGACGTTGTACTGGAAGGCCCGATTGCCCACCATAAATGTCAGAAATCTACGGTGGTGAGGCACTATTGACAGGTGGAAATAGGCATCCCGTAAGTCTATGGTTGCGAACCAAGCTCCCTTCGGTATAAGGGGCATGATGGACGAAAGTGTCACCATACGAAATTTCTTTGGTAAGATTGCTTTATTTAGATCTCTCAAATCCAGAATGGCTCTAAAACCGCCACCACGCTTTGTGACAACAAAATATCTTGAAAAGAAACATGAGGAAAACATTGAAATCGGAACCGGTGAAATGGCACCCTTCCCCAGGAGAGTATTAATCTCGCAGAGCAGAGTTTCCGAGGGTGCCGTACTCTTAACTCTTCCCACCTGAGGGAGGCACTCAAATTCGATGGAGTAGCCCTCCCGAATGATTGCCAGCACCCACTTATCCGTAATGATGCTGGCCCAACTGTCATAAAAACTTTGTAACCTGTTAACAAAACTGGGATGGGAGGAGGGAGTATTGCTATGGTTTAGCTCGATAGGGTCAGGAGCAACTGGTAACTGCGGAGGGACAACCCCTGGGTGAGCTAACTTGTTTGGCACCAGGAAGCACGTCTCAGGGGAGGCGTCAAAGACGCTTCCTGGAAGTCCCTTGATTTTTGGATCTGGATTGGTATGGTTGATACCTAGATTTTGCCGAATAAGAGCTTCTCTTGTTGTTTTGGAATCTAGGGGACGGTGGGCCCTTCCCTCTACCTGCTCCCGAAAACGTATTATTGAAAGTCTTGTGATACTGATTGGGAGGCGCTTGCTATCTAGGGCGGCTTTGATTGTACGGCTGCCAAGTATAACCAAACTTACCAGCCGCCTGCCGAACCTCCTGCTTCTCCTTCAGGGTTATGTCAGTTTCGGGGTTGAAGAGGCCTTCCTCGTGTAGAGGAAGGTCCTCTGCTAGGGCTTTTCCCTCTTCCGACAAATTGGCAGTGCGTAGCCACGCGTGCCTTCGGATAGAGGTCGCTGTGGCGAATAGGTGGCCCGCCGACTCGGCAAGGTGTTTAGCGAAGTCCTTTTGGACCTTCGATAACAGCAGGGCCTCCGATTGTAGTGCCTTTGGAAAACGTTGTTCCTCAGGCGGGAGTTTGTCGAGATAGGGGAGTATCTTTGTCCATAGGAATGTTTGGTACCCACTCATGTAAGTTGCATAGTGGGCCATCCTGGTGACCAAACCTGCCGCTAAATGCGCCTTTTTTCCCAGGAGGTCCACTTTTTCCCCCTCTTTATCAGGGGGGGCTGGACAGGGTACCCTTCGGTTTTTTGACTTCACAACTTCAGCCACCACTGTATTAGGTTTTGGTGGATTGGCAACCCACTTGGCCACCGTAAGGTCAATCCTATACAAGGAGTCGACTTTCTTAGGAGTGGCTGGTACGCTAGTTGGAGAAGCATCCAAAATTTTGGCTAGTTTCACGAGATAGGGAAGCATTGGGAGCGACGTGGACATTGGGACGGCCTGTTCCTCCGAAGGGAACATCGGTTCCTCGACATGTTCCTGTGCCTTTGGGGCTGGTATGTCCAGCGCCTTAATCATCCTATCTATTAAGGATGTGAACTTGTTCAAATCAGGTGGTAGTGGGGTGGGCTCAGATGTCTCCCTAGTTTGGAGGGAGTCAGATGGTTCCGCAGAGGAATCTGAATCCTCTAGCTCCAAGGCAGCCTGGTCACCTGATGTTAAGGTCAAGTCCTGGACCACCTGAGGGGTGCTTGGTGGTACAGGAGGGCTAGCACTTACAGGGTTAACAGGTTCACAGTTAGACAAATCATTACATATTGAACGTTCACTACAAGCATTTTGGTCAACACAACTAGAAGCTTGCTCAGTGCAAGCAATCTGGGTGGAATTTAAT